CAGTTATTTTAAAAAGCTCAATTGTGGTCACTGGGAATAGAGTGTACAAAGGTAATTTAAAATAGTCTTTGGATTTTATAATTTAAACATGCACATTCTCTTTGCCTGTGTTGTGTTGGAAGTTTTTTTGGCTGGGGGTTGTATAAATTTTAACTCTTGCCTTGATTCCTTAGGAAATCCATAGGAAAGTGATGTCACAAAACTTCACCAACTGCCACACCAAGATTCGCCATGTTGATGCTCATGCTACTCTTAATGATGGTGTGGTGGTTCAGGTGATGGGGCTGCTCTCCAATAACAACCAGGCTTTGAGGAGATTCATGCAGACGTTTGTCCTTGCTCCTGAGGTATGTGTAGGAATGATTATTGGTGCTGCAGTAATCAAATATATAAATAAAGGAACAGTAAAAGGTTATATGTATCTTTATAAAAAGCTTTTTTTGAAATTTCAAACTTACAGAAAAGTTGAAGGAATAGTATGATAACTCTTATATACCCTTTACCCAGCGCCATTGTCTACACTTGGCCACACATGTATAATTCTTTTTCTATTTACCTATCAGTTTTTTCCTTCTAAACCACTTGAAAATGAGTTGGAGACATTGTATTCAGTCATCCTCAAATACTTAAGTAGGCATTTCCTAAGAATAAGGAATTCTCCATAACCATAGGACAGTTACTAAGTTCAGGAATTATTGATGCAATGTAATTATCAACCTACGGTCTATGTTTAAGTTTTGGGAATGATCCCAGTAATGTCCTTTACAATTTTTTTTCCTGGTCCAAGTTTGAGTCCACAGTTACACAGTACATTTACCTGCCACGTTTCTCTAGTTTTCTTTAATCTGCATTAGTTCCTTAATCTTTTAATTTTCATGGTATTGACATTTTTGAAGAGTACAGTCACATTACTTTGTGGTATGCTTCATAAATAAATGTATTTCAGTGCCTGACATTAGATAGGCACATGATGTCATTTAGTCCTATAAATGATATTAACTTTGGTGTTCACCAGGTTTTGCCAGTGTAAAGTTTTCCTTTTCTGATTTGTAAATAAATTATGGGAGATTCTTTGTGACTGTGCAAATACCCTGTTCTTTATCAAACTTTCATACTCTAACTTTAGCATTCGTTGATAATTCTTGGCCGGAATCAGTTGCTACTCTGATGATGAATGGAGATTTTCTAATCCCATCATTCTGTATTTATTAGTTGGCATTCTACTATGAAGAACTTTCTCTTCTCTCTTACCTGTTATCATTCATGTACTCTTATTTAATAGATTATAATCCATTACTAACTTTATATCATATCTAAAATGTCTCAGATCTGGTCAGTGTGAACCCCTTTATGATGCTGCCTTTTGTAGCTTTTCTTTTTTGGGGGGTGGGGGACACTTTGTAACTTTGTGGTACAAGATGTTCCAGGCTCATCTTGTACTGTTTCTTCCCCAGCCCTAATTCTGGAATCAGCTGCTTTTTCAAGGAGCCCTGGTTCTTTTAAGTTATGCTTGTCATGAAAGGATCACAGGTTTATGTTGAATAATTGCATTTGTACCACCTTCTAATCTGGTCCAGACTGAACAAGGTCAGGAAGCCTGTACGTAAGCATATAGAGGTGGCTCAATAAGAACTTGCTGAATAAATGACTGTTTTCTCTAGCATTAATTTTAAAATGATTTTCTGTTTAGGATAGCACACCCAAAACCTTTTTACTGTTTGAATGTAAAACAACTTTCTATTTGAAAAATCACATGAAGTTATTTTTGTCATGATTTTCGGAAGAAGGCTTAGGTTAAACTGTAAAGACTTGATGGACTTCTAAATATGCAAAGAATCAGTCACGTGGAGTATGATTGTCAGTGATATGTTTTATTACATTTTTTCTTTAAAGGAAAGTATCTTACCTAAACTATTTCATTTTTTTTTTTTTTCTTAAAAGATGACTGGTAAGGGGATCTTAACCCTTAACTTGGTGTTGTCAGTACCACGCTGTCCCAAGTGAGCCACGGGCTGGCTCCTACATAAACTATTTCATTTAATATGCAAAGCACTGGTTATATGTTAATATCCCTCTTTTTGTAGATGAGGAAACAACCTTAGAAATAAAATAACTTGTAAATGATATAGTTGTTTTGGCTCAGGAGTGTCTTTTTGGCTGCTGGCCAGTAGGAGGCTCTGAACACTTGACCTTGGTGTTATACCACTGTGCTAACCAGCCAGCCTTAGGAGTGTCTTATACCTTGTGTGAGCAAGCTTTTTGGCTACACCACTGTAGGGTGCTTGTATCAATATTCTTGGATACAGATATAGGGAATTTTAAATAATGAACTTACTTGAGGTGTGTGGGCTGTGGCATCTTACATACTTAGAGCTTTATTAATTTTTGGCTGCCCTTCTGGTAGTAAGGAGATAAATGTTTTGAGCAAACGAAATATATTTGAGTGTAGTCTTTTTATAGCCATAGTGTACCAAGGCTTTTCAGTCTTGGCATTGTTGACAGTTTGGGTTGACTAATTCTTTTTTGTTGGGGGCTGTCATGTGCATTGTAAGATGTTTAACAGCACCCCTGCCCTCTACTCAGTAGTTGTCAGTAGCACTCCTCTGTTGTGAAAACTGAAATATTTCCAGACATTGCCAGATGTCTCCATGGAGCATTTGAGAACCACTGATGTAGAGTGATGTGGCTTTTTAAGTCTGTTGAATAAATGAAAACTTTTTGTTGGCATTGCAGGGCTCTGTTGCAAATAAGTTCTATGTTCATAATGATATCTTCAGATACCAAGATGAGGTCTTTGGTGGCTTTGTCACTGAGCCTCAAGAGGGTAAGTAGTGAAACACTGTAAGTTACTTGTCTAAATATTTTTAATGCCATGAGACTGACCTTAAGAGACTATGGGTTTCTTGAATATTTTTATTATACTTCGTTAATAGCACAAGACGTATGAAGAGAAATGAAGGATCTGAGGTTTTACACTACTTAAAGCTAATAGGTTAGCTTACTTCATGCATGTTGTAGAAGACATAAGACTCCTAGGTCAGTAGTGGATAGGTTATCACTCACAGCAACAATAGCATTTTTGCTACAGTTCCCACAGGGAACCATGAAGAATACCGGATGATACTTGTACTACAGTGTGTTGTGTCAAAGGAATGGAACCCTGAGTTTAGGGAACTGAAATGTCTTATAATTGGCAATAAGCATGCTTGCCCCTTGCTCTGGAGGGAGACACTCTTTTCCAAAGCTGTTGACTATACAAATGTTCTTGAAAGATAGTTTGGAAGAAAGGGTAGATGTGGAAGAAATGCAGAAACAGAGACCCATGGAGAATTGTCTCCAAACCAGTAGCATTCGAGTGTTTTTTATATGGCTGTTCTAAGTGCTTTATATTTATTGTGTAATACACATTCCTATAGATAGATACTTTAAGTACTCTTGTCCGCCATTTAATGGATTGGAGCACTGAGATGCAGAAATTTGTCTAAGGTAATATAGCTATTAAGTGGTAAAGCCTGCTTTACATTACTGCCTGTTTAAAGTAATGTGCATAATATCATATAACTAGTATAGTGGTAGAGCCTATATCAGATTACTGGAAGTATGACCTCAGACTCCATGTTCTTAACCAAAACATTACAATAGCCTTAATTCTGTCCTTGAAGTTGATGCCATGATTTTACCAAATTACCCTGTTTTCTTTTATATGTACATATGGGTGTGTTTTTCTTATTTCATTGCCTTTTTGATCATAGTAAACATCGTAAAAGTGAATGTATTTGTGAATTCAGTAAGCACAAATTACTTTAAATGTTTTTTCCTCACTTAGAATCTGAGGAAGAAGTAGAAGAACCTGAAGAAAGACAGCAGACACCTGAGGTGGTAGCTGATGATTCTGGAACTTTCTATGATCAGACTGTTAGGTAAGGAAAATTTTGTTCTATGCCCAGGGCTGCAAAAAAACTTGTGATGTCTAGACTTTCCTTTTGTTGGAGGGCAGTCATGTATTCTCAGAATTATCTCAGAAGATAATGATAATTTTGCAAAAGAAAGGTTTTGCTTTTTAGTGTCTCTGACTAAACAAAAATATATAACTTGTTTATTAATAGTAGATTGTACTATGAGGACTGTTTAGTTGTTTTTTGGTTTAGTTTTATCTTGGTGAAGAAAAATAAGTGAAAAGTAAATTCGGGATTTCTTATCAAGAGTTATACATTGACGTATTGCATTAAGTGCTTTGGGAAATAAATGAAGTATGCAAGGAATTAATTAGTAGAAATAAATTGATAGAAACTTAAACACAGGTGAGTAACAATAAAAAATTCCATTACCTCAGACAATACATACATAGAAGTGTTGTGTCCTTGGGTTTTTTATTTTTGCCTTGCAATTGGAACAGAAATGCATTTGGCAGGATTAGAAATGCAAATTTACTTGTTGCCGTGTGACACCCTGAATGTTAATATTTGGTGCATAAAGGATATTTTCAAATGTTTCTCAGTGTGGTGATGGACTAACGGTATTACTCACTTGGGTTGCTGGTTGAAAATGATTCCTGATCCCACCACAAACTTACCACATTAGAATTTCAGAAGGAAATAGATCTGCAGTTTGACAGCATTCCTGGGGATTTATATGGAAGTTTAAGAACTACTAATCTGGAGTTGGCTGCTTAGCTCAGTTGGTTAGAGCATGGTTTTATAACACCAAGGTCAAGAGATCAGGTCCCCATACCCACCAGCTGCCCCCCCAAAAAGAACTACTGTTCTAAATCATAACTAATGACTTTTTTCTCCCCAAATTCCTTGTGTGTTTTTATTATGAGGGTTTTTTTGTGCGTGTGTGGTAAAAGCCATATAATATAAAATTTACCATCTTTAAGTATTCAGTACAAGTGTTAACTATATGCACATTGTTGTACAAATCTCTAGAACTTTTCATCTTGCAAAACAAATTATACCCATTGACAGCAACCCTCTCCCCCCAGCCTGTTTTGAGAGTTTTTATGATGTTTGTTGTAAGTATATTGTAACAATTTTGGGATTTCGGATGAGTGAAAAATAGTGGTTTGGTTCATTTTGAACTGTTTTGGTATATTTGCTTATTGGAATTTAGCAAATAAACCAATTCCAGTTAAGATTTGCCCATTGCGGGCCGGCCTGGTGGCGCACTGCTACAGTGCGCCGCTTGGGAGCACGGCGGCGCTCCTGCCGAGGGTTCGGATCCCACATACAGACCAGTTCCTGCTCACTGGCTGAGCGAGGTGCGGGCGTGACACTGAGGGTTGCGATCCCGTTGCCGGTCCCGATCCCGTTGCCGGACACGAAAAAAAAAAAAAAAAGATTTGCTCATTGCCTTTTTTTTAAAAAGTATTTCTTTAAGCTCAGATACTATATATAATTCTTAGATCTTTTTTGTAGAGAGGGAGCTATTCTTATGTTCAGGTCTTTATAGTTAATAAGTTAGTTGGAAATTTCTTGCTAAATCAATGCAGGCAGAATGATATTTCTCAAATTTTCCTTTGAAAGCAATGACTTGGAAGAACATTTAGAGGAGCCTGTTGCTGAACCAGAACCTGATCCTGAGCCAGAGCCAGAGCAAGAACCTGTACCTGAAATCCAAGAGGAAAAGTCTGAGCCAGTATTAGAAGAAACTGCTCCTGAGGATGCTCAGAAGAGTTCTTCGCCAGCACCTACAGACGTGGTTCAGACAGTACAGGAAGACTTGAGGGTATGGAACATGTCTTTGTTTTATTCTGTTTCTTATTTATTTTTTAAAGTCTTGTATTAGTCCATTTTTGTTGGTATAACAAACTACATGGAACTGAGTAATTTATTAAAAAAATGAAATTTATTGCTTATAGTTTCTGAGCCTGGGAAGTCCATCCAGTGGTGGTGACAGTGACCCAGAGATCTCCATTGCAAGATGGTGGAACAGAGAGAGCAGAACGAGCAAAGGCAGACTCTTCTTTTAAAGCTCTCAGAACCATGCCCTTGACCACCATTTTTAATCCTTTCACCACTGCACGGTCCTACAATCCAATCACCTCTTCAAGGCCCACCTCTCAATTACCATAATAGGATTTCCCACCTTCTTAACAGTCATAGTGGGGGCTAAGTTTCTAATACATAAAACTTGGGGAATTCAACTTCAAGGAATTTGGGGGAGACATAATTCAGTCCAGTACATTCTGCCCTTGGCCTCCCAAAACTCATTTCCTTTTCACATTCAAATGCATTCATTTCATCCCCAAAGTCTTAACTTGTTTCAACTCAAGGGTCCAATGGTCAAAGTCCCATCTGTGAAATTAATACAAGTTATCTACTTCCAAGATACAATGGTGGGACAAACATAGGGTACATATTCCCATTCCAAAAGGGAGAGATAAGCCAAAAGAAAGGGTAATAGGTCCCAAACAAGTCTGAAACCCAGCAAGGCAGTCATTAAATCTCGAAGCTGGCGAGTCAGTTATCTTGCCTCCGTGTTCGACCTTCTCTGCCTGCTGGCGTGGTGGTTGGGTCCTCAAGTCCTTGAGTAGCTCTGCTCCTATGGCTTTCCTGGTTTCAGGCCATACTTCAGCTCTCCCAGGCGGTGTTCTGCTCTGATAGTTCCACAGGTCTGGAGTCTCCTTGGTGGTCCCACTCTCACGGCTCCACTAGGCATGGTTCTGTTGGGGTTTCTCTGCTGCAACTCTGACCCCACTTCTGGTACCAATTTTCTGTATTAGTCCATTTTGTTTTGCTTATAACAAAATATATGGAACTGGGTAATTATAAAGAAAAATGAAATTTATTGCTTATACTTTCTAAGGCTGGGAAGTCCAAAGTCCATCTGGTGGTGGTGACAGTGACCCAGGGATCTCACATTGCAAGATGGTGGAAGCAGAGAGAGCATGAAAGACAGACTCTCCTTTTAAAGCCCTCAGAACCACGCCCTTGACCACCATTTTTAGTCCATTCACAATGGCATAGTCCTACAATCTAATCACCTATTTAAGCCTCCACCTTTCTTTTTTTTTTTTTTTTTTTTTTTTTTGTCTTTTTTCGTGTCCGGCAATGGATCGCAACCCTCGGCGTCGCGCCCGCACCTCGCTCAGCCAGTGAGCGGGAACCGGTCTAAGCCTCCACCTTTCAATTACCATAATAGGATATCCCACCCTCTTCACAGTCACAGTGGGGGCTAAGATTCTAATACGTGAACTTGGAGGACACAGTTCAAGCTTCAGTGAGTTTTGGGGGTACATAATTCAGTCTACTACAAGTCTCCTTTATTATTGTTTGATTGACTTCTGTAGATACATTTTCATATTGTTGGTTCAGGGAAATTTCATATATTGAGTTATGCATCAGATACAAAGTAAGATGCATATTGCTTTATAACATCAAAAATACCCCCCACACTTGAATACTTCTTAGACCAGAAATTTCAGATATCACCATATCAGTGACCCTTCATTTTTTTAATATTTCCTCTTTTAAATTGTAAATTATTACATGCTTTACAAGAAACAAGTGCGAAACATACCTTTTAGAAAAATAACATGGCAGAGTAGACTTTTTCTTGTCTTTTTCTATGAAATCTAATTGAGGATAACTTTATAGTAGAAACTGCTGAAATATAACTACTTTTCTAGTTAAAATTACTAATTTCAAAAGTTTGAAGCTTTTTTCACAGTTAACTCCTCCTGAGTTTTTAGGGTGATGTATTAGCTGAACTCACAGAACCTTTACATTTATGCTCTGGGAAGGAATAGTTTTGAAGAAATTTTCCCCTAATAGTATGAGGATCTGAACCTTTGACCTTGGTGTTATCAGCACCGCCTCTAACCAAGTGAGCTAATCGGCCAGCCCTCAAAAATTGAAATCTTTTTTTTTTCTGGGAAGGAATATTTTTTATTGCTGTATTTATAGGGTCAGGGTTTTTATAACGTCATTTGTTTGTTCAACAATTAATTCAAGTGCCTGCCTTGTGATAGGTACTGTTCTAAGTGTGGGTAATTATATTGGTAAACAGAGTTTTTGCTCTGGGGCCATTAGTAAGTGAGTAAGAGAGAAGTAGTGAAATGACTTTAGCTTGCCAGGTGGAAAATAGGTTGGCTAGATTAAGAAAGGATGACCAGTTAGGTGGCTATTGTAGTATCCCCGATGAGAGAGAATGATGGCTTGAATTAGAGTCATCGTGGCAGTGGAGATGGAGAGGAGATAAGTAGTAGTATTACAGGTTCTGATCATTTTTAAATGAATTGGAAAGGTATTCAAGATGATTCTAAAGTTGGTATAACTGGGTTGAGGTAAGTTCCATGGATTGAGCAAATCATAGGAGGAAGAGCTGAGCTGGTTTTGAAGGGAGGAAAGAGAATTTTCTTTGTGTTTTTTTGTTTTTTTTTGTTTTTTAAAAGATGACCAGTAATCAGAAGGTCCTGAGCAACAGGGTAAGCAATTTTTCATCCTGACTTTTTTTAAAAAAAATGAAGGATGTATCTTGGTTTTTAGAATGTATTCATCCTTATAGCTGTGTTGTCTTATATGTAAAGTGCGCTTTATTCCTGCATGCTGAACCATTATAAGGAAAATACCTGCCTGAAAGTTGAGAATAACAAATATGAGAATGAAATAACTAATAGTTATTACTACAGTGAGATTTTTGTAAATTCCTTGGTTTGGCTTCTGGTGTAGAGAAGATGAAATATGACATTACTTTTAACTAAGATAAGAGCCAGTTTGCCTAGGGCGGTCTTCGTATACAACTGTATGGGTATAACTAAGAGCATCTCCTCTAATTCTATACATTTTCTGGGTTGACATTACTTTTAACTAAGATAAGAGCCAGTTTGCCTAGGGCGGTCTTCGTATACAACTGTGTATGGGTATAACTAAGAGCATCTCCTCTAATTCTATACATTTTCTGGGGTTGGAAGATAAATTATGTAGCCACCCTACTTAGAACCACCTTTATTAACGATATTTTTGCTAGGTACATTCTAATAATAGAGGGATTTGTAGAATTGGAATCTTACTGTGGAGCTCTTAACATTAATTTACTGAGATAGGTGTGGGATTTTAAAACTATACTTTTTTTATTGAGGTGAAATTCACATAACAAAATTAACCATTTAAAAATGTACAACTTAATGGCATTTAGTGCACATTGTAGTACACCATCATCTCTAATTCCAAAACATTTTTGTGAAAATTAAGCCCCTTACCCATTAGGCAGTCACTCCTCATACTCTCTTTCCCCAGGCCCTGGTGACCATTAATCTGTTTTCTCCCCCTGTGAATTAAAACTATACATTTTAAACCATATAGTAGAAATGTTGTAGATCAGTATTTCCCAGAGGTGACCGCGATATTCTCCAGAATGTTAATAGGTATACTGTGAAGTATAATGTTGTAGTCATAACATGTGAGCTTTCTGAAAATGGTGCATTATCTTTAAAACTGACCACTTGTTTGACAAATGAGGAGAGAATAGTGGTTTTAACTTAGCAAGGCCACTGAATACTGAACTGAGTAATGTGCAGTAGGCATTGTGATTTTATCTATCATTCAGCATGTATTAGGTCTAATGGCCAACCTTTTTGGTGTGGCTTTGCTTGAGTTCATACTTCCTTAGAGGGTATGATATCCCTAATGGACCAAATGAAGTCAGACCTGGTAACTGGCTTCCCACTTAACTGTCCAAGATTAAGGGGTTTATTTCGTTTAGTGCATGTGGCTAAGCCATGGATTGGCATTTTTATGCATGAGAATTGTTTGAGGTGAGTTTTTTCCAAAAGTGTTTGGATGTCTGGTACCTGTTTTCAGTTAGATTTCTTCTACTCTTTTTACAGCTCCTCAGAAATATCTTCCATATTACCTTTTTAAAAAACCCAACACTGACCTCTCCCTTCATTTTTCAGACTTTATTTTTCCTTAATATTGTAGTTTTGTTTGTGTATTGTCTCCCCCCAGCCCCCCTAGAATGTAAGGCCCTGACTTTTCTGTTTCCATTGTTTCTGGAACATTGCACCTGGATAGTGCTTCAGATTAATGTGTATCAAGTGATTTGTATGTGTGAATATATATTTTAAGTCAGAACTTGAAGTAGAAATTATAATTAGGTCCAAAGAGGCAATTTTTAAAGAAACTATGCAGATTTCCTCATTTGGATTTTCAGATTATTTCTTTGTATTTTGGGGAACTTCATATGTAGGTTACCTTTTCTTTATTTCACTGTATTGGTAGAAGTCTACTGTACTCCCTCAGTAGTAAGACTGATTACCATTGTGTATGACATGCTGTAGTATAGCATAGTGGTTCAAAGCTTATATCTCCTGGTCAGGAGGCCTTGGTTTACATTCCTCCTCCATTACATATGAGTGTTGTGACCCATGGGACAAGTTTCTTAATGTCCCTGTCTTTTAGTTTGCTAGTCTCTAAAATAGGTGTCATTAACAACCCTCAGATGGATGGTAAGATGAAATGTACTAATAAGTGTGAATAGAACACATCCCTGTTACATAGGAAGCACTGTTAGATATTCATTAGAAAAATTCAGCTGGAAAATCGTTTTGCCAGTGAAGAGCATTAACTGAATTCATTGGAATGTTTGGTAACTAGCTTTGTCAGGAGAAAGAGAAGGCTCATGACTTAGTGTGAATATATCTTTTTTTTCCCTTTACTGAGATCTGTTACCTTCAGTATTTCCCCAAATTTTTGTAAGGCGAATAGCATTTTGTTAAAGTCATTTAGGTTAAATTAATGACATTTTTGTTTGAGATCTAGATGTACTTTGCATGTTACATGATCATGAGGTTTTGTTCTAAGCCTTTAAATCCATGGAGAAAGTGGTAATTCTTATTTATATCATTCTACTTATATAGTTCTATGAGAATATAAGATTTGCTTTAATAAGTACAATGAATGTTACTTGGGCTGCTGTTCTACATTTTTTGAAGTAGGCTGTATACCTTCCCATCTTTCCATGTTTTTGTTAGTGGGAAAATACTTATTCTGAGTTCGAAACAAAATTGAACTGTGAGAACTCTGCTGATTTGTAAATGCTGGCTCTTTATGATAGCTTTTTTTTAATCTTTGGTCATAGTCCATAAGTACTCTTAAGTCTGGTCGCTTTGATTCCTACAGCCCATCATGTTCAGAGGTGAGGTCCGTCTGAATGTGGAAGAGAAGAAGACTCGAGCTGCCAGGGAAGGGGATCGGCGAGATAACCGCCTGCGGGGACCTGGAGGCCCTCGAGGTGGACTGGGTGGTGGAATGAGAGGCCCTCCCCGTGGAGGCATGGTGCAGAAACCAGGATTTGGAGTGGGAAGGGGAATTTCTCCACGGCAGTGAATTGCTCTTCACTGATCTTCATGCAGCAGTACAAACCCTAGGTTCTGCAGAATGGTGAATTTCTTCAACCAGCCTTTGGTATCTTGGAGTATGACCTTAGTCTGTTATAAACTGCTTAAATTTGTACAATTTTTCTTTTTTGTGTTAATGGTGTGTACTCCCTCCCTCTTCCTTCCCTCTCCTGACCTTTTACTTCCAATTTTGTGGAACGATATTTTAGGAGTATTGGATTTTTAAAGAAGAAGAAAAAAGACTGAATTTCCTTGCTTTAGATATACAGACTGGATTTTTTTTTTTTTTTTTACAGCCATTTCCCCAAAGGAATGTGTCTTGCTTATTACTGACATTTGGTATGTTTCATTCTTTGGAATATTTCTTACTTATTTTCTACATGTTTCAAAAGCCTGTGGGAAATACAGGATTTGATAAACATTTTGAAGGCAGGAAAAACCCAATTGTTTTCTTCTTTGAGAGTCATGACTACCTTCTGGTGTGGAGAAATTGCCATTGGAAAATTTGACAATTTTGGTTCTTGCTGGTATGGTTAAAAACTGAATAAAAGGTGTTAGAGTTTTTTTCTTTTGATATATGATCACAAAATAATTCTAAAACCTACTGTTTTTACCATTGAAATTTAAATTGTGAGATAGGTTTTAAATGTTTAGAATGCAACCGATAAGCTTCTCTTGAGCTCTTAAGATTTTTTTGAAGTAGTTTTTTCATGTTTAATTTGTATTTGTAAAAAAAAAACCTAAATTGTGAGATAGGTTTTAAATGTTTAGAATGCAACCGATAAGCTTCTCTTGAGCTCTTAGATTTTTTTGAAGTAGTTTTTTCATGTTTAATTTGTATTTGTAAAAAAAAAACCCCCAAAATCCCAAAAATACGAATAACAAAAAACCGGAGCAAAACTGTTGTGCCTTCTATTTATCTTTGATTCCAGTCTTGGCAATTGTTTAAAAAAAAAAATAATAAAACATCTAGATTTGTTTTTTCAGGTTCAGAGTATGTGGGGAATTGTAAAATCCCTCTTTAATCACCTTGTATGTTTTTTGTTAACATCTATTATGCCTTATTCTAAAATTGAGTCTCAAACTGGAATGCCTTTGAGGACAGATGCTTCTATAGAGGTCCTTTGACTTATATAGTTCAGCATTCATATTAAGTTTTATTTTGGTATTTAATCAGATTCCTAATCATAGCCCATACGAAAGAGTGTGTTTCATATTGGACTTTGCTGATATGCTCGAGTGTCTGCAATTTTCTTTTTCTCCAAATCATAGCCATATGGTGAATTTTCTATTTTGTTATGGTTCTCTTTTATTGATGGACATGCAGTGGGTGTTTTTTGGAAATGGCCAATTTTTATTAAACTATTTCTGGAAGAAAATTTAATCTGGCAATATAGACTAATACTCGTTTTACATAGTATGTTATTTGTTGAGTGCTGTGTGTGAGGTGGGTGAAGGTTTTGTTTACACATGTGTGAAGCAAGCCTTTGTGTGATAACTTGTCATTACTGATTGAAGGGCAGCCAGGTTGTCGGATTTAACTTATTTATTTTCTTAACAGTGTTCATCCTTAGGACTGTCGTTTGAGGATGATACATGAATAGAAATAGGAATATTTTGTTTGTTATGCTGTTACTGAGAAACTGTAGGTTTGCTGTGAAGGTGTTAGTTAAGTTAAAATGAAGTTTGATTTTATCATTTGGGTCCCAGTACCTCGAATATTTGAAAATTGGCAGCGTCTCCTTCACATAAAGAAATTTATACAAGTATAATTGAATCACATGGCTGGTTTTGGGTCAGTTTAATAACTATTTGGTAACCACTTTATTTGGTCCAGGCCAATGATAATTGGAAGAAATTCACCTTGTACTTTTGTAGCTTATATTAAGCTTGTGGTGGAAAGAAAAAAAAGTTAACCTGAGTTACTTTCGAAAAAAATTTAAGTTGCCATAAATTTAAGGTAGTAAATTATGGATAACCTAGAAATTACTTTTCACAAGTGAATATCATCATACATTTCAAAAACAGGAGTTCTTTCTGTTCAGAGGTTTAAGGGCACTAACTAGATGCAGTGATTCTCAACTTGGTATTGTTATCACATCCTAGAGGGTATTTGGAAATGTATAAGATTTAGAGGGGCTGTCGGGGGTGGAGGGACACACATCTGGCATTTATTGGGTGGGGGTCAAGGATACCAAATGCTCTGTTTAAAAAAAAAAAAAAAAAGATGCAACTCCATTGAGAACACTGATGGTCCCTACTCATGGATGAGTAAGAGTGGTAGGATTAGGAATACTGGAGTGAAGACTCATTCTTCTGAAATTCAGCATCAGATAAATGAATTGATTAGGAAATGGAACTCTTTCAGGAATTACAATAACATCTACTTTCGATATTCTCACTTTTCATTTTCGTACTATGTGTATGTGTGTGTATATGTTTGTTTAAATGGGGAGAGGTAATAGCAACATATGTTAGATGCTGCTTGTAACTTGTTACAGGGAATTACTGCTAATCTCAGAAAACAAAAGGTTTCCTCAGTAATTTCAGCTCATCAGAATTGGAATGGTTGAATGGCAGTGGACATGAGAAATTAGGGTTTAGCATCATGGTCGACACTTAAGAATCCCGATGTCATTGTTTACATTATTGCATGTGGACTAAACATGAGAGTTTAGAGATAGATACATTCACACAGCTAGAAAGTGAAAATATAATAATTTAGGGCAAGATTTTCTATAGGCAGCAGCAGCTTATCACATTCAACTTATTCAGACTTTAAAATAAAATTTTTATTCTGTAGGAATGGCCCAATGTATAGTTCTTCACTACTGAGTTTAAAACCCTTGACCCATGAGTATTCTATTAGCTTGGTAAAATTAGTTTGGTTCAGTGGGTCTCAGACTTTTCAGACATGTTAAATAAATAAATCTTGGGCCTTACAAAAATATTTTTGTTTGCTTTCATGGTGAGGTTGGGCTTTACTTGTGTACTCCTTTGTTCTCAACTTTCTGAGCTATTTGCTGGGGATCAGTGAAATGGATAATCCAAAAATAATTGTTTGACTTTGGATGAGTGAGTTACTACCATAGCATTAGTTGAATTGCACTTTAGTTCTATGTTAGAAAACTTAATGTTCACATCTACTCTGTGGATTAGGTGCTGTTATCCCCAAAATAATAGATGTGGAAGAAATGGCATCAGAGCAGTTAAATCACTAGGCCTACAAGTCATAGGAGCAGATTGGCCCTCAAAACTGATGCTTTTTCTTTAGAACCATTATGCCTACCTGTTTACATTTGAATGACAGTGACTAGGACATTACCATAATGAAGTTACTACTGTATAGAGATCTAAGTCCGGAAGACATTCAGGATAAGGTTAGCATTACTGTTCTTCATTTCCTTTAGGGCAAACAAGATCATTAAACTTGGATTTTGTAGGTCTCCTTTGGATTTGCAGATTCTGTATGATAATATAATAATAGTTATTTGTTCTTTAAGTATTTTCTCATCTGGTTTGATAATACATTTAGTACAAACTTGAAGTCCGGTTGTGGATGATAATATTGCATAATCCAGGTGAGTTCATAGAAGTTGTATTTTTTTGCTTATAACTGCCATTCCTCATAATTTTCTTCATCCCTCTATTTTAAAATCCTTTAGAAATTTAATGGTTTAGTGGAAAATGTGGCACTTTATAGAAAGCAATTGGTTAAAATCTATATGGAAGTAATCTTTCTATGGAGTTTAGAATTTTTTTTGAACTTTAGATTTGTAGGCGACTTATTTCTTTTAAGTAAATTGTTGCATTTGTCCAATCTACTGATCTAAAGATTTAGTCTTCTACATTAGTTTTATTTTTGTGCTACTTAAAAGAATCTTTGCCGAACTGCAAACAGATGAGATAATTGTTGACCTTTGTAGTTCATCAGTTTTTAAACTTGTATGAGAAACAACATCAACGTTTATTTGAATATGGGGTTTTAGTTAACTGCCTAGTGTACTAGAGATGGGCGGTGGACAATTAGAGAGCCTTCCACAAAAGTTTAAGAAACTTAGCAGTGTCTTGTGGAGGATGAGGGGATGGGTTAAAGTTGATGATCACGTAATGGTGATGTGGCACTAGATGATAACTAAATTAAATAAGGATTTCTGGCTTTAAGGTAGTAATGCCTTTTGGGGTTTATATTTGTTTACTGTGATGTTCTGGGGACCATAGGTAGGCTTGTGAATTCTTACTAGACTGGTAAAGGAGAAATGGTGTACCTGTCTGAGGATAATATGAAATTAGGTTGCCTTGCTTATGCTGTCATGTAACAGTGTCAAATCATGGCCCAAATGAGTAAAAAGTTGATTAGAGGCCACCTACTGGTAAAGGAGAAATGGTGTACCTGTCTGAGGATAATATGAAATTAGGTTGCCTTGCTTATACTGTCATGTAACAGTGTCAAATCATGGCCCAAATGAGTAAAAAGTTGATTAGAGGCCACCTAAAAAAAATCCTTAACCAGTTTTGGTTTTGGTTATGCTTATGTATTGGCTTAGAATCAAGGTTGTTCAGTTTTAGTTTATAAAATGACTTGTTTTGAAAACTTTGGACAGTCTCTCCTCCTCCCCAGTTTCCAATGGAATCTAGTAGCTTTTTAAAATTCCCTATAATAGAAAAATAATATTGGGAATTACTTCTACAGTTACTTCCATAAACTATGTGATGTGGCCAATTACAGAAATCCATATGTGTTTAGTACCTTGAATTGTGGCCAGTGTCCCAGATTCATGAGGGATGTGCATACAGTGTGTTTAAGGTTTTTTTAAAAAGTAAATTAAGGATGTTTACCAAAAATTCACTTCAATTACTTTAACAAGTATTTATGTTTTAGAAGCCCACTTATGGGAAATTTGCCTGTATTTTTGATAATAATTAGAGACAAGATTATATTCTGTTTAATCTGGATAGAAACAGTTTTAGCTATTGCTGTAATTATAGCCACTTTGGTTACTGATTCTCCCCAAGCTTTGATGTCACCGGTTTGACTTTGGATTTGTTTACATTTAAAAAAAATTTTATGAAGATGTTTATACACTGATTTGACCCTTTTAAATGAAGACATTATACCAAGAAGCTGTCATAAGAAAGGGGAGAAGACTTCTTTTTTTTTAAACATTTGGTGCACACTTTACATAGCTTGTAGAACACACCATTTAAAAAATAAATTCATAAACATAGGTTTAAGATTTTGAAGAAGGGTGAGGTAGAATTAGCTGATGGAATAGGAATCATGTGTGATTTATATGGAAAAAAATTATGTTTTTAAGTGAACAACATCAGAATTATTAAAGTTTTTCTTCCCATTCTGATTATCACAGGGAACAGGAGAGACTCCTAAAATTCTTTGAGACATAAAATGTTAGTGCTGGAAAGGACTAAGAAGTGATTTGTATAACTGCTTGCTTCCTTACAAAAGATAGATGGTTCAGAGAATTAATTAGTACAGAGCCCTAAATCTGCTTGTGGAAATAATATGGAAAACCTTCAGGGATCACCTGTCTAGGTTCGCTGTAGGAAGGCCAAAGCTATTAAAATAGGTCATATGTGGGGAGAAAAGGGGAAGGTACCATGTTTTATGTGCTTACCCAGTTGCTGTTGTAGTTCAGTTTTCATACCCAGGTTTTCTCTATTTTCTTAAAACTGTCTTAATGCTCAGCTCTACCAGGGCCTGTTGTCTAAGGACATTCATTAACTGTGCTCCCCTCAGGGATGGGTTTACTACTAGCTGTCAGAAAGCTATTGGGTATCCTAATGTGTTAATAGCTGAAACTCAGCTGTAATTTTCTCCTAAATCTTTCAGCATTGTGCATTCTGTACGTTGTGGTGCTTTTTCCACCTTGTATTGTTATAACTGTAAGCTCCTAGGGGGCAGCAATTTGGTGTTAGGCATGTACCCTGCTTAGTGCCTGGCAGCGCCATGTATGTATCAGGGTTATATTTTTTCCCAGTTATTTCTCCCATTCTTGGAAGTGATGCTCAAGTCATACTGAACTACACTTAAATGATCTCCCTAATAAGCCAGGCATTGCTGATTCCGTGGCTTCAAGTGCCTTCTCTCTTCCCTGAAGATACATCTGCAGCCCTGTCCCCTCACCCCTAGTCTTTGCCATCTAAGTCATTTTTTTCAAGGTCCAGTTCAAGAGCTTTTTTTTTTTTTTTTTTTCCCTCCCTTTTTGGGGCTGATCTGTCCAGAATTTGAAGTGAAGAACAAATTGATTCTCATCCACTTCCCTTCTCCACATTGTCCCTCCTGTTTGAGATTCTGTCCCAACCTTCATTTTGTAAACTGTATTCCTATAACACTTTTATACCTGTTCTCATAGTTCATATCTTACC